AAGGTCACAAACTTGTAAATACCCCCAAGGGATTTGAAAAATCCATGGGTACACAGGAACAGATTTTCCCCGTTTATAGTGATGCCCACCCCACCGCAAAGGAAGAGATTCCAAGGAGCCACAGGAGGAGTAGGGGAGTCACATGAGAGATAGGTATCAGATTAAATGGAGGTTATATCAGAAGGTATTTGTAATCTTTCTAAGCATGATATAGTGGGTGAAATTTGCACCTCATGAAAGTCCAAATAGCTTTGATATTTTTATAGATATTCAGAAAAAGAAAAGGGATTGTTAAAGTCAAAATATCAAAGAATTAGAATCAAACTGACATAACAGGCAATTTTAATTTTATCCATTCAGAACTACGACCTAAATCTAAATTGTACCCCTACTGGGAAAAAGAAGAATGTATTCCTATGTTTGGAGATATGCTTCTCAATGAATTTTTAATTAGGGATGGAGAATCTTTCTAAGGAGGAGAAATTGAACTGAAGGAGAATTATGATATAGTAATTAAGCAAGAAGATTAAGGTGGAGGTGTAGTGATAATGGATAGAGAATTATATTTACAGGAGGCCAATATAATTTTGGGAGAGTGTAACACCAATAAAAGTTTAGATAATAATCCTATGGAAGAATTTAAAAGCCTACTAAAGCACCTCTTAGAAGAAGGCTTTAATAATAAAATAATTAATAAGGAAAAATGTAAATATGTATATATTACATTTACCAAATTTTCAATCTTCTATCAATTACCAAAAATCTACAATGTCCTACTGAAAGACTCATCATTATCGGTATTAAATCACTTACTAGTGAATTTTTCTGAAAATGTTGACTTGTTCCTTCACAAATATGTGAAACAAGCACCTTCATATATTAAAGATTGTTCTGAAGTTAGAGAAATTGAGGGATTACTCTGGAAGGATAGTTATGTATGGGCTACAGTTGATGTAGCCTCTTTGTGTATGGTTGTAGATGGTTCAAACGGAAAACAAGCAATTTTTTTTAAATACTATGAACACATCCTGATATGTCTTCTTTATAAACTCATTTTATCTTAAAATGTTCTGAGTTTAATTTTACTAAAAATGTATTCTGGTTTGAAGAATCAGCCTACCTCCAGATGTGCTGGACAGCCATGGGTACCAGGTTTGCCTGTAGCTACACTAATATCTTTATGGCAGATTGGGAGGCCAAGAAGAACTGGAAAAACAACTTTGTGTAAATTAGAATTCCTATGGACTGAAATTTACTGAATTCACTGAAAGTGACAACCAATTTATTGAATATTCAAGTTTCCATCGCCTAAGTGGTAACAAAACATTTCTAAAGACCAACAAATGAGGATAAAATGCAATAAAACAGAGTTAAATAGTATAAAGCCAAAACACACATAAATAGCGATTACCCCGGAAAAAAAAACAACACCCCGGTTCACTCTGAAAAACCGTGAATTATACAACACAAACAAATTGGTGTGCTGTGTCTTTAAGGGAAAAAATGGTGGAGCTTATAGTAAGTGCAAAATTACAAGAAATGCTTACACATGCAATTCTTCTTAGTGTGATATTCAGGATCCACAAAAAACTTCACAAGTCTTTAACCACTTGAAACATATAAAAGACATAACATAGTTTAAAACCATAAACACCCACATAATTAAAACCAAATATTGCACTCACAAACGTAGGGCCACTATCAGTGGCCAGAAGGGCACATAATTGTCTAAAAAGACCTCCAATAAGCAGCAAACATGTATCCCCGGCACTTGAAAAAGGCTCAGATCACCCTCTATTTCTGGGTCAGGATCGCTCCAGGTGTGGAGAAATCTTCTCCTCAAAAGTGTCCAATGCTTAATAAAAATGAAAAAAGTTCCAAGGTGCTTCTTAATTCTGATCGGTTTCATCTACAAAGACTTTCTCAAGGTATTTGTTTTTAAAGATGAATTAGAAAAAATAATATTAAAACCTTTTGGCACTTTGATTTTTTAATATTTTTTTTTTTTTTTTAAAGAACCTGGATTCCTGACATCTCTTTGCTCCTGAACTGAAACAACAGTGAGAATAAAGACCTCTCCTAGACAAAAAATAATGGGGGTTTAGTTACATCATATGATCATATATTGCATAAGCCTGCCACAACAGCAATGTACCCCATTCTTGCCAGGTCCTAATCTAGCAGCCGGCCCTTATGAGATTAATCCACTGACTTGGGAAATACTTCATCCCGGGACTCTCTGCAAGTCAAGGCTAAATAGGATCCTGGAATGAGGCACCTGTGACAGGGAGGGGTGCAAAACAAAGGAGTTGGCCTGGACTCCCAAATATATAAATGAAACCAAGAAGGTTGCACTCACATGAACATGCTTACATTATAGGGTTCTGCTGGGGCCAATATATACAACATACAAAATACACAATCCAGCGCACTCACTTATTCACTAAACAATGATTTAAAATTTCACAGATTGTAATAGTTTTATTGCAGGATCCTCTTTAGCCTTGACCTGCAGAGAGTCCCAGGAGGAAGTAGTTCCCAAGTAAGTGGATTGATCTCATAAGAGCAGGCATTAGGCTGCTAGAGTAGGACCTGCCAAGAAAGGGGTACATTGACCTTGTGGCAGGCGTATTCAATATATGATCATATAATATAACTAAACCCCCATTTTTGCCTAGGTGAAGTGTTTTAAATAAAACTATTACAATCTGTGAGATTTCAAATCATTGTAAAGTGAATAAGCGAGTGTGCTGGATTGTGTATTTTGTATTTTGTATGTTGTATATATTGGCCCCAGCAGCACCCAATAATGTATGCATGTTCTGATAAGTGCAGCCCTCTTGGTTTCATATATATATATATATCTGTAGCTTGCACTAGTAGTTGGTGTTATGCTCGGTGGTGGTTGTGGCAAATATTGATTGATATTTTTTATGGATTAAATAAAAGTAAAATTTTATATTATCTACTGAAGTTCCAGGAGTGCAGTTGTAGAAACAACTGCACTCCTGCAACTTCAGTAGATAATATAAAATGTTACTTTTATTTACTCCATATATAATATCAATCGACGTTTCAGCTCCACCACAGAGCTTTCATCAGAACAGATAACAAACATTAAATGTACAGAGGTGAAGATATATACCCCTAAATCCACCCACAATCACGAAAAAGTAAACATCCACTTAGTATACTCACCGATCCAGTGCCCACAAGCGGTCCGGCTCACCATGCATTTCAGACGTTGCTAGGTTACAGTATGAAACGCAAGCGCATCCCTCCCCTTTGGGCCTATGGCATGATTGGCATCAGCAGAGTGGAAACATGTCACGGCCAACTATGGTGCAGACGGGCAATGAATCGGTGAGTACACTAAATGGGTGGGTGGACTTATGGAATATATATCTTCAAGTCTGCACGTTTGAGGTTTGTAATTTGTCCAGATAAAAACTCTGTGGTGGAGCTGAAACGTTGATTGATATTTTCTATGGATTAAATAAAAGTAAAATTTTATATAATCTACTGAAGTCCCAGTAGTGCAGTTGTCTCTACATTTATATGTATATACTTCTTGTTTTTTGTGGTAACCATCTAGGAAGGATACCTGGTGAGACTACTTTTTTAGAAGTCAAGTTTATATTCATATATATTTTTCCCCTAGAACATTTGGGTGTTTTGCTGATACATAAACATATACTTTAGTATATGTTAGGTTTATATTAAAGATCCAGCTATACATAATTTTTATATTTTATTTTTTATATTTATATCTGTTTCCATTAAACTCAAATTTTATTAATGACACGGAGGCTCCTATTATGCTATCTCTTTCTTACTTTATTCCTCAGCAGCAAAGAGAAATATAAAACTGAAAGAGAAAAAATGTAGATATGAAATATAATAACAACAGGTACAACCAGATCTGCCTAGTAACAGGACAGCCAATCAGCTTAGTAGGAACAGTCCATAAATGTCTTGCTTAGTACTTCCACTCCCTCTTTCTTTGCTGCTGTCCTCAGACCAGCTAAGTATAATTTTACCTCCTGTATATTGATCTGTATTTTGATTGTCAGGGGGATTTCTGCCCTGATTATTTATATTACTTATTGTGGATAATGCCTTTAGTCATTATATTTGTGTTTTGATTGTTTATATCTGTTTTCTCTCCCCTTTGCCCGGTGGATGTATTTCTGTATTTCTGTTAGCACAGGCTGGGACCCGCGGCTCTCAGGGGAAGTCTGTTGCACTTGGAGCTTCTGGCTCCCTGTTCCCTCTTCTACCCTCGCGGCCGCGTTATCTGCCGGCCTGATCAGTCTCCTCGCACCCGCTGGTGCAAGGGAGTTCCCGGCCACGTGTGTACCACGCGCTCCCCGGCCATTGGCGGGGGAGGAGCGCCGGGTACCCGCAGCGTGCTCTGCTCACGGCGGCCATCTTGGCTTATCGGCACGCACGTGGCTGGGTCTGCTCGGCGGGTCGGCTCCCTCCTTACCTCCTTTTTCGTTTACCTTTACTTTGCAGGTATTTGTTGTGGGTTACTCAACCCCTGCTAGGTTGTTTGTGTTAGGTCTATTTCGTTCTATCAATTACTGTCCCTGTTAGGATTTTTAAAGTACATTTATTTCTGTTTTGGGTTCACCCTCCCTGCTGTATCATGCAGGCCAGAGGTGAGGAGTCTGACAGCCCCAGCTACCCCATTGTGGGCCCCATGCAAACCCCTGTCACTGGGGAAGGTGGCCTTACTCCCTCCCAGGAGTTCCAGGCCCTAATTGACTCCACCATGCTGAAGGCCTTGGCTTCGGCCATGGGATCAGTATCCTCATCCCTGTCTCACACCATTCAACAAGCGTTGTCCCAACCCCTGCCTCCCTCTGTGGTACCCAATCCTCAGCCTGTGCTGCATCCTCAGTCGGGCCGCAAAGCGCAGGCTAAACGGAAACACATCTCCCATGATATGATGCAGGTGAAACCTGCCCTGACTGACGTGCCTATGGCCGTCCAAGATGGCGCGCTACCGTGCAAGAGAGCCGCTGGCCGGGCAAAATCGGCCAGAAAATGGAAAAGGGCGCGTGCCCATGATGATGATAGATCCGACTCGGATCAGAGGGAGGAGTCGTGCTCGGATGCCCATGAGTACACCTCTTATGAGGAAGGGGGCTCCGATGCTGAGGCAGGGTCTGACGCTGAGGTGCTACCTCCGGGCGAGGGGCAAGACATGTGCGATCCGCAGGGTTACCCCCTGTTCGATCCTGATGATCTTCGCCATCCCCGCTCGGCGGAATGGGACCCACCCAAGCATATAGCTAATTACCTAGCCCTCCGCATGCGCACTCCTCTGTCCAAGGAGGGGCGCAGCAAACTACGGGCTGAATGCCCAAGGCCTTCAGTGCCTGATGCGGCGTGCAAGACGCCAGAGGTAGATCCTCAAATTACGCAGTTCCTGGCAAAAACGGGCTGGAAGCCCAAGAAGGGGCTGGAGTTCTTGCTCCATAATTGTCAGGACAAAATATTAGACACCCTGGGGCCCGCTGCCAAGCTGTATGACCTGTTAGAGGCAGCTAAGTCGGGGGACAACCCCCTGGATTTTGATGAAGCAATAGGATGGGTGCAAAGATTGATTTGCCTTCTCGGCAACGCTAACATGGCCATGTCGGCCGAGCCCCGCAAGACGATTTTGCTCAAGATCGAGCCAAAGCTAGTGAATCTAGCTGTGAAAGAACCCGGTGCTGCCGCCAAGGGTATGCTTTTCGGAGAGTCCTTTGTTAAGGACCTGGGCTCCTTTGTGCGCACCTTCACTGCCCTAGACAAAGCCCAGTCTAACTTAAAATGGGTCTTTAGCCCAAAGGTTTTCCATGGGGCCGGGAGGTACAGGAGCCGCCCGCCCGGCCGTGGAGCTCGAGGTCCCACACGGACTCACAGTGGTTCCTTTGCTGCCCCTCGGCCATACCAAGACTACAAACCGGCTCCATTCTTTCCATCATGTGGGAGACCGTGGCAGAATCGTGGTGGACGTGGTCAACCCTCATACAGACGCCCTTACGGTAAGTACCCCCATACAGGCGTTTTCTTATTCAAACTTGGGTGGCAGACTGGCACTGTATTTCGATATGTGGGGACTGATCACCACAGATGTGTGGGTTCTGAATACGATCAAGGGTTTCCGCCTCGATCTGTTATCTCTCCCTGTCCAGGTTTTGACACCACAGGAACTGAGATTGCCAGCAGAGCAGTCCGATCTCATTACCAAGGAGATCTCGGAACTTCGGCTCAAACGGGCAATACAGGAAGTCCCGTACGACCACACGGGGTTCCTAAGCAACCTGTTCCTTGTTGCCTAGAAGGGTGGAGGTGTTCGACCGGTCATAAATCTCAAACACCTCAACGGATTCCTCCGCTACCATCACTTCAAGATGGAAGGCATTCATTGCCTCAGGGACCTGCTTCGGCAAGGGGATTGGATGGTCAAACTGGACCTCAAAGATGCCTATTTGACTATTCCAATGGCAGAGGAACACTGGGACTTATTGCACTTTACGTGGCAAGGACGTCGATGGAGGTTTACTTGTCTGCCCTTCGGTCTCTCTTCAGCACCTTGGTGCTTCACAAAGGTGATGAAGCCGGTAGTGGCGTTCCTCAGGTCGCGGGGAGTACGCATGATTATCTATCTAGACGACATACTGATTATGTCCGCGTTCCCCGAACAACTTCTACAGCATCTAGGCTGGACGGTGGATCTTCTGGAGAACTTGGGTTTTCTCATAAATTGGGAAAAATCCATGGTGTCTCCGACGCAGAGAATAGAATTTCTGGGTTTCGAAGTCGATTTGGTCACCCAGTTTTTGTTCCTTCCGGAAGCCAAGTTAAAGGCTATGAAGAAGGAACTAAGACGTACTTTACGGACCACCAGTCTCTCCATTCGGCAACTGGCGAGGGTCATTGGTCTCTTGGCCTCCTCCATTCAGGCGATTTTTCCAGGACCCCTACATTACCGAGCCCTACAACGGCTGAAGGGATCCCACCTTCGCTCGGGCGGTTCGTACGAAATCGAACTGTCCCTGGACAGAGACTCCAAGGAGTAACTTCGGTGGTGGTTGGACCATATGGAGGCTTGGAATGGTCGAGCGATCTTCGGCTCAGCCCCGGATATGGTAATAGAATTGGATGCCAGCCTGCATGGCTGGGGCGCTCGCTGTGGAAATGTCTCCACAGGTGGCAGATGGTCCGAAATCGAATCAACGCTACATATCAACTATCTGGAATTGCTGGCGGGATCGTTCGCAATTCGCAGCCTGTCTCCAACCCTGAGAAACTGCTGCATCCTTCTGCGCATGGACAATGTGTCCGCGGTCAGGTATATAAATCACCTAGGTGGCACGAAGTCAAAACAACTGGCGAATCTAGCGAAGGACTTCTGGCAGTTCTGCCTTCACAACGCGGTGTCGGTTACGGCCGAACACATCCCGGGCTTGGACAACGAATGGGCGGACGGGAATTTGCGATACTTGAAAGACTCAGGAGATTGGCATCTGTTGCCTTCGATCTTTCAACGGATAGATCACCTATGGGGCCTGTTGCAACTGGACTTGTTCGCATCCAGACTGAATGCTCAACTACCCCGTTACTTCAGTTGGAGACCGGATCCATCAGCCACGGCGGTGGACGCGTTCCTGCAGATTTGGCCTCGGGGTCGTCACTTTGTGTTCCCCCCGTTCAACCTGATCTCTCGGACGCTGGCATACTTGTCCGGACAAAAGTGCACGTTGGTGGTGATAGTTCCCCTATGGCAGACTCAGCCCTGGTTTCCACATCTCCTGGAGATGGCGGCGGAGTGTCCACGAATGATCGGGATGCGACCAGAGGTGCTTCTGGATCCGGATGGGAACTCGCACGAGTTAGTGGACCAGGGCCTATTCCAGCTCATGGCTTGGTTGATTTCGGGGGACCCTGGTGTGTCTCGGACGTTCCGCAGGCTACTACAAGACTCCTGGAAAATGCCTGGGCACCGGGTACCAGAACAGCTTACAAGTCTGCATGGCGTGTGTGGTCTGGCTGGTGCGTGGGGAGACTGCTGGATCCCCTTTCTGCCCCTCTGAAGGAAGTGCTCAGCTTTCTGACTGCACGTTTTGAATCTGGTCTGGCCTATCGCACTATCAATATTTATAGGTCGGCAATCTCAGCCGGACATTTGGGTATTAACGGTTCACCGATTGGACAACATCCTTTTGTGTGCCGTTTGTTGAAGGGTATTCGTTACTCTAGGCCTCCGAAATCAAGATATTCATCGTTTTGGGATGTTAACGTGGTACTGGACTTCTTGGAATCATGGCCCCTTAATGAGGACCTGTCACTGAAGCAATTATCCTGGAAATTGGTTACGCTCCTGTGTCTCCTTTCATGCAAAAGGTTTTCAGATGTCAGGGCTTTGGACTGGAACGTGTTATCCTTCACCCCCGAAGGAGTGTCGTTTAACATCTGTAGGAGGACTAAGACGTCCTCTAAGTCAGTGACCTACCCTAGGTGTTCAGTCCGACCTGCTCTGTGTCCGGTAGCTTGCCTACGGGCGTACTTGGATCGCACTCATCTATTGAGATCATCAGATTTATCCCAATTGTTTATTTCCTTTAAGAAACCGTTTCTCCCGATCTCCTTGACTACGTTGGCTCGTTGGATTAAGAATCTTTTATCTGCTGCAGGAATCGATACTTCAATTTTTTCGGCTCATTCGCTCAGAGGCGCCATGGCGTCTAAGGCCTCCACTATGGGATGTCGTCTGGATGATATCCTGAAGGCAGCGGATTGGTCTAGGGAATCTACGTTCCGCGATTTTTATTTCCGCCCGATTGACCATGTCTCCTCGTTAGTTGTGGCTCAGCTTTAAACTAGCATAATAGGAGCCTCCGTGTCATTAATAACATGACGTAAAGTCATGATTTTATTAATGACACGGAGGCGAGTATTATTCCCACCCACCCACCCGTTGGGAAGGGCTTGGGTCTATACTCATGGTTCAATCGGGGTGATCTTTTACCCCAAGGTAAGTGTTCACGTTTTTTTTCTCTGACCTGGCGTATCTGGATCTATGTACTTATATGGTTACAATTTTAACGTTTGTAGTCCTACAGGTCAGATGGTCATGAAATGTAAATGCAGGTCCGGAGTTTGGATTTTACCTACTTTTTCTCTGTTTTACAGCTTGATTTCGTTACGATGACGTCTACCTTGTTGGAGATTGTTCTTTCCTGATGTGGAAGTTTGGTTTGGGTCTTCGGTTCAGAAGGCAAAGAAGAGGAAGTGGAAGTACTAAGCAAGACATTTATGGACTGTTCCTACCAAGCTGATTGGCTGCCCTGTTACTAGGCAGATCTGGTTGTACCTGTTGTTATTATATTTCATATCTACATTTTTTCTCTTTCAGTTTTTTATTTCTCTTTGCTGCTGAGGAATAAAGTAAGAAAGAGATATCATAATACTCGCCTCCGTGTCATTAATAAAATCATGAATTTACGTCATGTTATTAGTAAAATCTGGGAATTGTGTCTAAGTATCTGTGTCAGATATTATAAAATCTTTGTGTTTAGGTTTTGCCTGTGTACTTTTTGTGGGTCAATAGACATTAGGGTGCATACTCTTGGCTCTTGTATTCAGCCCATAAATTTATGTATATATATAATCTACATTGACATGGAATAGCCCAAAATATACTTAGCATCTATCTGTCATTGTCAATAAAGTTGGTTTGCTCTACATTATAGAATCTCTACTTTCTTTTTTGCACTTAAAATTTCAAAGTTGTGCTTTTAATGTTAAATGTTCTTAAGTATTTAAACATGGACACTTTTATATGGAGTTCTATTTGATACTTTTATACAAAATCAGATTCTCCCATGTTCCATCAGCTGTCATAGGCAATAGGTGACAGAGTATTTCCATAGTGGTGGCCAATTCTCTCATCCATGTGAATATCAAAGGTTCAAAGCTACACATCATGTATTTTGACCAGAAACCCTGCAGAGACGGGGATATAAGGATAAACTAGCCATATTGCAAAGTTGGGACTTCAGTAAATATATTAGTAATAGAAAGTCAGCATTTGTTTTCAGCATTACACAACTGTATTTGGAGAATTTAAAGTGAGTTTCAAATGTAAGTCCCCCCAAAAAAGAACTGGAAAATCTTTACATGTCAGCAATGCTTACAGTATGGCTATT